ACTTTAAGTGTGCAATAACTCTGGAAAACAAGCAGTTGTCTATTTAGGAACTAATCTCTATGACAAAATCCTTCTAAACTCATTATAACTTAAAATCTTCAATTTCTCCAGGCAATACTCTGAAGTATAGTTCTTTTCTCCCTCATTTGTTTAATTTAAGCTACTTAAGTGAACTGGAAGCTGACTTGAAAACTTAGCAGCTAGTTAGCCTCCTGGCTCTTCATTTGTACTATTTCTCAGTTTTCTAAGTAATTTAGTATTTTCAATTTGTAACGTATGACAATGCATAAAGTATTACACATCATGAATTTTAAAAAATGGTCACTGAGTCACTAGGAACTGAGACCAAGAATTTCAAACCTTAAATTCAACTACCAGTCAGAAAAAGAAAACAAAAATTTGCTTCATACACAATTTAGGCAGCTACCTATAAAAGTTAGTAAATTAAAATAACTAAGTGAAAAAACTGACCTTGATGAAATGGTAGAGAATCCTAATAAGGGACTTCAGGTTCCAGAGAACTACTTGGAAGTCTTTACTGAAAGTCCCACCACAAAACCAGAAGTGCCAGGGCTTACACAAGCAGAATTAGAAAAGTCTTATTTTACCAAAGCAAATGCAAAGCAAAGCCTGTTTTGCTGAGCATGGTACCTCTGTTTGCTGACCATTACTTGTTGCCCAGTTGCAAAATATCAATTCGCATCTTATCAACATTTTGGGGCCAGACCACCCCTTCTGTGTTGCATTACAAGAGTGGGTAGCTTTTTTCGAAATGACATGGCAAAAGTCTGCAAAGGCTTCTGGGTTCTGCCTTATTGGGATTTCAGTCTAGATATTAGCTTTTTGTTGATATATGATAAAGGCAATTGAAACTTGCATAGCTGGAAAAAATGGCATGATAGGATGCAAAAATGCAGAGCCAAGTAATAGTGGTGACAGAAACGGGAAAGTCACTGTAGCTGTTCCACTTGATGTTAAATTGCATGTTTAAAGATATTCTTTTCTATTTTTGGGAACTTCTCATTTGATACCCTGGTATGTTTGCACATACATATAGGGTAAGACCTTGCTCCTTGTTGATTGACTGTTTCAGTATAATTTAAGCCCAATGTTGAGTTGATGTTGTTATTGGCTATATTGAATAGGTTGAAAAGTTTTAGATGGTATTTTCATATGTTTGCAAATAATTGAATTTACTGGGAGGTGGAGTTGTTACAATATGTTAACATGAAATGCAACAAGACGTTTTATTGATATGTAAAAGTTTTCATCTGATTATCTACTGGCAAGTCTTTGTATTATATTTCAACCCAACCGTTTTCCTCAACATATAAACACTATTACAGAGTAATTGGTCAGGGAAATGGAAAACTTGTGGCATATACACCATGTTTGAAATGCCATGACCATAGTAAGCTAACAGGATATAGGAGGATGTATGTGGGAATAGGCCCTCTTGTCTGTATCAATAATTTGCTAATCACTCCTGTTGGCAATGTTTTGATGAGGTTGGGCTATCAAGGCAAAGGAACTGAGGATTTTAGTAGGCAGTGACTTTTTTTTCAAACCAGGAAACTATCATTGTGAAGGCCATACTTGTGCCAGGTAACTCATTCTTATTCTGATAAACAAGTTTTGAGAAGGATACAATATTTTATAACAAAAACTCAATGTATAGGTTGTGCAAACACCTTTAATTTGACTATACTTTTATAGCCAATACCATTCCCTTCAAATGGTAAAATGTTAGGAGGATCAGAGAAAAAATAATGTGCCATACACCTGCAAGATTTGATGTAATTATTTTAATTACAAGAATAATAACTGATACTAGGAGATCTAATAGTATTAAAAAAATTATAAAATCTGGTTGAAAAATTAGAATTCAGCACAGGCTGGATAAACAAGGTTCTTAGAAAAACAAATGTGTACTAATAAAAAAGCTAAGCAAACTTTTTTAACAACACCTGCCTGTACCTATATGGCATGTAGTAAAGTCTTTTGAAGTAGTCATAATCCCAGTGTCATATGTTGAAAACAAATGCACATGCAGATTTCCTGTAAACCTATAGTTTAAGCCTGTGATGACTTTGAAATTTTGATGCACACCTCAAAAGGAGAACAAATAAATTTCATGTTTCTATTTATTCAGTTTAGGTTAGTGAGGTAAAATTGAGTCAAACATTCAAGACATACAGTGACAGGTTCAAGAAATTTTCGCAACTAATTTTTGAGGTTAGCCTATGTGGAACAATCATCTTGAACTGATGATGCTCAACAGAACTCTCCGTGATAAGAGGGCAGGCTTTCCTTTCTTCATTTAAAGAAATAATGATGTTATCAACTTTCCACAAGCTCAGTGGAAAGTGAGAGTGAATGAGACTGATAGTGTCTTTGTTACTTAAATAAATATCCAGATCCAGGATAAAAAGTCAGACATGGTCTCCAAAACTCTCTCACTTTAATTTTTTAACCAGTTAAGCTACAGCTTTACATTCTTGCTTTGTGATTATGTGGATGCCAATTACTGGTAATTTTACTTTTATGCATCAATAATATTACATGTTACAGTATGGTAACTTACACAGCAACGTTATATCCAAACAAAGGAAGTCAAGTTATTGACTTTTGAGGGCTTAAGGTACAGAGAATAGACATGGTTAACAGCTACAATTAGTACAAAGTTGGAAGTTTGAATGAAAGCTAAAAGAAATACATGACAATTATCAGACCCTATGCATCCTAGCAAAAAAAGGGTCATTTACCACCATACCTTCTCCCAAATGTTCATGCTTACAGGAAATCATTTATTTTTGTCTCTAGGTGGTACTGTATTTACAATAGCTCTGCCAACACAAATGCATTTTTCTAAAGTTATCTCATAGCACATGACTGTACAGGTCAAGGGGAAGGTTCCTGCATGGGGACTAACATTTCAATTACCTCAGCAAACTGTAATCATCAGAATTGCAAGCCAAGGTGTATTTACCAAGTGCTCAAGTTTCCAAATTAGTTACCTAATTCTTACAGTGGAGCTCAATCCTTTTTAAGGCTATCTTAAGCTTGATCATCCTGTTGCATGTGAAATTATCAAATGTTACTCACATAATTACCTGAATCAAAAGTTATAATTTTTTTAATAACCTGCTACCTTTAATAATTGTGCTCCAGGAATAGTAAATGGTATTGAGGGGAAAGGAAGAGTTCTTGAAACATTCCACATTAAATGAAACTTTGTTATGAATGTTAATTGTGATTGCAACAAAAAACATCTGTGAGGCTATAACAATTACCTTTCTAGGTAAACAAACCATAATGAAGCATGATATGAATAAATTTAATCTCACCCAGTTTGAATGTAGAATCCAAAATCTAATAAACTTACTAGTGAATAGGAAAAAGCTCAATGGGTTTTTTCCTACCTCTGTCATTCTAAATATCACAAATCAATCATGCCACTACTTCAGTGTGATTTTTTTAATGGTGTGTGCTTTTTCTTATGGATGGCTATTTTAAGTATCTATCTTTTACTAGCTGACATCTGAGAAGAATGAAGTCTACACTGGCAATTTGACACATTGCAGGCAAACCCTACAACTGATTAACCCTTTAACTCCCATGAGTGACCAAGGCAGAATTTCTCCTAACAATACCAATACAATATTAATCAGATAAGTTACAAGAATAAAGAAAAATATAAACTTGAAAATAATTAGTTGATCCAATACTAAATTCTTAGAACTAACATTATAAGAATTGTATAGTTGACAGTAAGGAGAATAACAGATTTGAACTGGGAGTTAAAGGATTAAATTTTATTTGATAAAAAACATGAATGGTAATAGAGGAAATTAGCTAGCACAATTCAAGTTTCCCCTCCTACGTATTCTGCGATGTTTTTCTATCACATGGTAAAGTTAACAGTTTCCCTCATTTCACTATCTTCTGTTCACTTGTTTCTTTGCTTTCCTAACAATCTTAGCTATTGTTGCCAACAAATGCGAGGAGCATATACATGAAAATTTGTACAGCTAATAACACTTTAATCCCTGAGAGTAACTAGCATCTAATTTCTCCATTCAATATCACCCCTGAGTCACACATTAAAGTCACGAGAATAAGGGAAATTATACTCAACTGAAGAACCTCTTGTTGTTAAACAAATTCTCCTTGCCAGCACAAAAGGAAATATATAGAGAACAGTTTAGAGAATGTGTATTCTGATATTAGGGTGTAAAGGGTTAAAGACATCATGTAATCAGTTATATATATGTAGGGTAACCGGACATTTTGCACAAGTCTTTTAGCACAAGTTTTGGACCGTTCGCACAATTCTTAGTGGTCATTTTGCACAATAATTATAAGTGAAAAACATCAATATAAATGGTATACTGATTGATACTGATAAGACATTTCACCTTCACAAGATCCAGCGGCGAAAACGTAGACATTTATTTACGTAATAACTTCGGCTAGATCGAAATGCTCGTGAACACGATCGCTATTCTTACTTGAAGAAATCTCTCTCTCTATGAAAATGTAAAGAACTCCCTTTTCGAACGACTAATTCTATAACTTTTCCTTTGTTGAACGAAAAACCTTTTCGTTTTGACAGTATCATCCACTACGAACATGCAAACATGACGACCCACGCTAAGGATACCATGTTGACTTCGAAAGTAATGGTTGTGGCGTTGTTTATAGGAAGAACAAGACACACACAGGTGAAGTAACACAGGTCTATTTAATCGATGTCCGACGAACTCTACAAAACCGGAAAGCATGGTCTCTAAAGTTTTGTTGCCATGGTAGTTATGACGTAAATGCGGACCGGAAGTAAATAGAACGATAACATCGATATCGTTACATCTCCCTTTCTTCAGGAAACAAAAAAAAATGTAAACGTAACTGAATGTCTCAATCCTAGTTTAAAATAAACTACAAAAAAAAGAAAATTAAGAGTTTGTCATGTCCTTTTTTTGTTCTTTCGATAACCCCAATCACTGGTAACGTGTGGGTGGTCGCACAATTCGTCCAGATCGAGTGGTGGTCACCGATGGGGAAATCTCCTGCTTATCTGCTGCAGACTGAGGTGGATATTCCGGATGTGGCTTGTCCGTGTTCTGCAAAGGTACTGTGTCTGATTGGTCCTTACTGACTGCAGTACTTGGTATGGAAGGTGGTACCGATGGTATTTCATTACCAGAATTTGCAGTAGCAGAAATTGGTGTTGCTTTTGGGGATAATCTCATCCCATCTTCACTGTGTGGCATCACTTCACGTGTATGTCTCAGGTGTCTGCGGTTCCTCCTATAAATTCTTCCATCTTCTGTTCTGACTTGATAGGACCTTATGTCGACTTTGCCTTCGACTCTTGCTTGGGTCCAATCCTTCTTCTTTCCCAAGTGGGATTTTAGTGGCTGCAATCGCACTGTGTCTCCTGGGCGCAGTTCCTTCAGTTCTTTGGCGCCTTGATTGTAGTACAGGGATTGTTTAGCCTTTTGTAGCTTCAACTTCTGATCAACCTCCTCTGGTAGCTTCGGCTTGAGCAATTGGTTTGAGGTTGGGAGTGGAGTCTTTGTTCTTCTACCGAATAATCGCTGAACAGGTGACGAGTTGAGTGTTTCTGTGGGAGTATTTCTCCAGTCCAGCAGGGCAAGATATGGGTCTTGTTCGGACTTGACGGCTTTCTCTAGCAGATGTTTTGCTGTCTTCACCGTGTTCTCGACTTTGCCGTTGGACTGAGGATATGTTGGAGAGCTTGTTATATGTTCAAAACCATAAGTGTCTGCGAACTGTTGGAACTTTGCGGAAGAAAAGGGCTGTCCATTATCCGATACAAGCTGGTCGGGAATTCCATGGCGGGCAAGATGGGCTTTCAACTTCTTCACAACTTCGTCTGCTGTCTTGCTTGTCATTCTGTCGACTTCAAAGAAGCTTGAATAGTAGTCAACGGTCACCATGAAATCTACACCGTTCAGATCAAAAAGATCAACTGCGATTTTCTCCCAGGGTCTACTAGGCAGTTCGTGACAAATCATTGGCTCTTTTCCTTGCTCGACAGGCTGGCTGTTGCAAATGGCACACTTTGCTACATAATCTTCGACATCTTTGCTCATCCCTGGCCAGTAAGCTACTTCTCTTGCTCTTCTGAGACAGCCTTGGATGCCGATGTGGCTCCGGTGGATCTTAGCCAACATGTCAGCTTTCACGCTCATAGGGATAACTAGTCTTTCACCTTTGAACACCAGTCCATTCTGTAAAGACAGTTCGTCCCGAAATGTAAAGTAACCACTGATGTTTGCTGATACCCCAGCTTTGGTAGCTGGCCAACCTTGCCTGATTGTTTTCTTCAGCTCTCTCAGGGTAGGATCGGATTCTGTTGCTTGCTGAATGGCAATCAGCGTTGGTTCCGATACTGGCAAGTATTGTATCATATTGATGTGCTCTAGCTCTCTTTCAGTGTCTCCTCTCATGTCCTCTATGTACATAACATCTTCTGCTACATCTTCTTTTGTGCTCTTGCGCACTCTGTATGCTCTGCTCAGTGTATCTGCCAGATACATTTCAGTCCCTTTTTTGTAAGACACTTGAAGGTCAAACTTCTGCAATCTTAGTAACATTCGCTGGAGACGTTTAGGCGCACTGAGTAGACTTTTACGGAAGATGCTCTCCAAGGGTTTGTGGTCAGTTTGGATCTTGACAGGTCGACCATATACAAACTGCTCAAAACGTTCTACTCCGAAAAGTATTGCAAGCATCTCTTTCTCTATCTGGGCATAGTTCACTTCTGTTTCTGTCATGGAACGAGATACATAAGCCACGGGCTGGTCTCCTTGCATTAGACATGCACCAAGTCCTCGGTCTGATGCATCACACTGCAATTCCACGTCGTCTTTGGGGTTAAAATACTTGAGGACAGGGGCAGCTGAGAGTATCTCCTTAACTCGCTTGAAACTACAACCTTGTACTTGCTCATCCCAACGGAACTGGTTCCCTTATTTCAAAAGGTCTCTCATTGGGGATGTAACTTCTGACAGGTTAGGAGCAAACTTCTGGAGGTAATTTACCATGCCGAGAAGTCTCTTGAGATCTTGTTTGCTTGTCGGGGTTGGCATCTCTTTGATACCTTGTACCTTGTCTGGGTCAGGCTTAAGACCATCTTGACATATAACATGTCCCATAAACTTCACTTCTTTGCGACGGAGCTTAAGCTTCTCTTTGTTTAACTTAATGCCAGTAGCGCGGCAGCGTTCTAACAATGCTGTCAGCTTTGCATCATGATCAGAAAGTGCTTCTGTTTCTGTTTCTCCGACACCAAAAACAAGGATATCATCAAATATTGGCTTAATTCCATCAAGACCTTCCAGGGCGTATTCCAATCTCCTCTGAAACTCTTCCGGAGCGGGTGATATGCCGAAGGGCATCCGCGTCCAGCGGAACCTTCCCCAGGGGGTACCAAATGTGGTCAGAAGACTGCTTTCATCGTCTAGCTGCACATGCCAAAAACCGTTCTTTGCGTCGACGACACTGAAGACTTTAGCATTTGTAAGGAGTGGTAGTAGATCGTCGATCACTGGAAGGGGAAAATGATTTCTCCTGAGTGCTTTATTCAGAGGTTTTGGGTCAATACATAACCTTATCTTTCCATTGCTCTTCTTAATGACCACCATTGAGGAAATCCAATCTGTTGGAACATCTACTGGTTGCAAGATGCCTATCTTAACTAAGCGTTCTAGTTCCTGTTTTAAAGGCTCTTTTACTGCAAAGGGGACTTTCCTCACTGGCAGTGCCACAGGGGTTACAGACTTATCAATCTCGAGGTGAAGCTTTCCTTTGAGCTTTCCTTCTCCTGAGAAGACATCTCCGAATTTGCTCACGAGATCCGGCTGTGTGGGAATCTCATCCGAGAGAGACATGATGTTATCGGTGTTAATCACTATGAGGCCAAACTGCTGCACCGATTCAGCACCAAGGAGTGCTGTGTGACCTGTTGGAACGACGGTGTATTCCGTGAGGAAACACTGTCCATTCTTGGGGTTGAAGGTCTCGACCTTAGTACATCCTAGAGGTTTCAGCTCTGATTTGTTGAACATGACGAGGGTAGTTTGAGTAGGCTGAAGGCGTTCCATTCGCGGATCGTTAGAAACCTGCTGATAAATATCTGCTGGGAGGATATTGACTGTTGCTCCACAGTCTAACTGGAATTTCACTGTTTCATCCCTCAAGCGCATGTTAGCATAAATCTTCTTTGGACTGTTTTTTGCATAAAGGACGCTCACAGATTCTACACTGAATAAGTAATCATCAGAATCTTCGTCATTAAACTCCTGAACATCTTGTTCTACATTGTGAACTGACTTCTTAGTTTGCTTTTTTTTAGCTTTCTGACTTCTGCAAGCCACTGAGAAGTGGTTCATTCGACCACAGTTATCACACTTGTGCTGCCATGCTGGACAGAGTTCCTTTTTTAAAGGATGGGTTCTGTGGCAGAACTTACATCTAACTGGTTCTGTTACTTTGTTGTGGACGGGGCGTTGAACTTTACTGAAATTTCGTACTTCATTATGGCGTAAACCAATCTTCGATTTTGGGTGGCCTGTGGCAACGGCGCTAACCTCCTCCGCATGGGACATCTCCTTAAGTTGTTTGGATGTGGTTTCACTCGCACGGCAAATATCAATACACTTGTTAAGAGTTAGTTTGTTCTCAGCTAGCAGCTTTTTTCGGGTGGCGTTATCTCTAATTCCTACGACAACTCTGTCTCTAATCATTCGCTCTTGCATGATGCCAAAATTGCACGTTTTAGCTAACGAACGTAAAGCTGTAAGGAAAACATCAAATGACTCACCGACCTCCTGTACTCTCTGATTGAACAGATAGGCTTCGTATATTTCATTCGTCTCACCGATGAAAAAGGCGTCTAGAAGCTCTATCACTTTGTCGATGTCGGTTTTCTCCTCTTCATTTCCGAAGGGCAAACCATCGTAAATCTCCAGGATATCTGGGCCAATACATGTCAACAATGTGGCTGTTCGAAGATTACTGCTTTGCGTACTGAGCCGTGAGGCGATCTCGTAGTTTGTCCAAAGCCGCTTAAATTTCTTCCAATTCACAGCTAAGTTCCCCTTGAAGTCTAGTTTCGACGGTAAAGGAATAGAGGACTGGATAAATTGAGGAGTTGCTGGCTGCGTGCTTGTTGACGCTACGCTCGACGAGCCTGATTCGGTCATCTGGAGCTAGATTCACTGAGTTTGGCTTGAAAATGCACTCAAGTATTTCAGCGACGATTCTGTAGGAAGAATCCCACTTCTGACACCATGTGGCGTTTTTTATAGGAAGAACAAGACACACACAGGTGAAGTAACACAGGTCTATTTAATCGATGTCCGACGAACTCTACAAAACCGGAAAGCATGGTCTCTAAAGTTTTGTTGCCATGGTAGTTATGACGTAAATGCGGACCGGAAGTAAATAGAACGATAACATCGATATCGTTACAATGGTTACTAGTCTTCCCTCCTTGTTCGATCGCATTCAAACAGCATGTTTTATCGATCTGTAAGAGTTTCAAATAAAGCTATTGAAAACTTGCTTCTTATGTCTTCGTTATATAATGAAAATTAGGCATACTGGTAATACGTACAGCAAAAATAGTTCAACTTTAATAAATCGATATTCAGAGAGTGCTTCACATCGAATGTCGACACGTGCAAGTGCTGTGATTTGACAACTTGAACGTGTCAGTGTAGGTAGAAACTAGTGATCTTGTAGAAAGACAAGTTCGATCTGTAATCTTTTTAAAGATCGTAAAGTTTAATACATCTATCAAGTAGTAACCTTTCAAATTATTCTAATAACAATTACCTAAGCGATGAAGAGTTCAGTATCGATCGATAAGCGTCATGGCGACCGTGATGTAAACAATTGATTTCATGAAAGTGTCAAGAATTCAAATAATTTAAAGGTTATACGCTAGCCGTTCGATAAGTAATCATATAAGCTTAAGATCAAAACAAATAAAGAAATCTATATGTACTATAGCTTAAATGAATGTAGGAAAGGGCTAAATTTCTACGAGTCTTGACCGAGTAGCGAGTTAAAATTTGCATGATTCGTCGGGTAACATGGCCATGAACTTGAATTTTATATATTTACACAGAAATTTTGTAAATAGGTCTTTTGTCCTTTTAAATAAAAAGTGAAACAGTTTGCAGGTTTTTACTTTGACTTCAGAGGAGGGAGGATTGGTGACAATTACTTTCGAAATGGCGTCCTTAGCGTTGGGTCGTCATGTTCGTATGTTTGTAGTGGTTGATGTATTGTCAAAACTAAAAGGTTTTTCCGTTTAACAAAGGAAATATAATAGAAGTAATCGTTCGAATAAGGAGTTCTTTACATTTTTATATAGAGAAAGATTTGTTCCTTTCTTCAAGTAAGAAATAGTGATCGTGTTCACAAGCGTTTCGATCCAGTTGAAGTTATTACGTAAATAAATGTCTACGTTCTCGCCGTTGGATCTTATTGAAAGTGACATGTGAAGGTGAAATGTCTTATCAGTATCAATTAGTATACCTTTTATACTGATGTTTCTCACTTATAATTATTGTGCGAAATGACCACTAAGAATTGTGCGAACTGTCCAAAACTTGTGCTAAAAGACTTGTGCGAAAAGTCTTTTGTGCGAAATGTCCTGTATTCTCCCCACTTTCAAAGAAAAGCATTTCGAAAATTTATGCATTAAAGACATAAGCTACCAGCAACAGGTTTTTCCATTGCAAGTGTTTTATATTATCAGATTCTCATCACATTTTTTTGTTACATTTGAAAGCATAAGAATATTTTAATCGTTACAATATGTTGAAATCCCCTATTTTAACCCTTTAACTCCCATAGGTGACCAAGAAAGGATTTCTCCTTACAATATCAAAACAATATCAAGCAGACAAGTTATGAGAATAAAGAAAAATATCAGTTAGGGGATTATAAGATGATCCAATACTAAATCCTCCAAACTAACATCACAAGAACTGTATAGGAGATAGTAAGGAGAATTACTAATGAGATCTTGGGAGTTGAAGGGTTAAGTCCCATTGGTGACCTAGACAGAATTTATCCTTACACTATTAGTATGATATAAAGCAGACAACTAACAATAATTAAGACAAGTATCAATTTGAGGATTATTGGTTGATCCAATTCCAAATTCTCAACTTTAACACCACATAAATTGTATGGCAGACAGTAAGGAGGATTACTCATACAATTTTGGCAGTTAAAGGGTTAAGACATTTGGTAATTATGTGTAACAGAAAGACAGCAAATGAATATAACATTATACTCCAGTGTTCAATCAATCAAACAATCAATTTATTAATGTGAAAACATAGGATGGGGTTGCCCTGGTCATCCGAGCCAGAGGCTCATGTATAAAACGTATGACAATAAAATACTAAGTTAAAAACGATACAATTATGAAGCAAATTAATAAACTAGCGCCCACATAGGATAATTTAGAAAGCTGCACCCACCTGCGACCCAGTGAATTAATGAATTAATGGAAAAACTAAGAAACTCTAGCAAGACCCTAAGATATACAATAATTGCATTTACAACTGGCTCTCAAGACTGATAGATTAAAGTATTTTAAAAGTTTGCAAAGTTCACTCAAATCGGTTGATCCTTTAATTTAAGAGGGAAGCTGATTCCACATGTGCAAAGCCTTATATGTGAAGGAATTATGATAATATCGATTGTTGTAGGACGGTTGAGTGAGATTGTGATCGCTGTTCCTTAAATTGTAGCGCAATATACGAAGTTAGAGAGGTTCTTAAGATCTTTCTTAAGAGACAGTTCTAGTGCAGAAATGTCTGTATTAGACGCATAGGCTGTGGTATCATCAGTGTAGAGCCTCAGGGAGGTTAATTGAATAGAAAAATTCTTTTAAACTTTATTTTAAAAAAAAATTTTGTGTTCTTATGTAGAATGAAGTTTCAAACTCATATAACTGTTATTCAAATACGATCCAAATTTAAGAAATTGGTGAGTGAGTGTAAAAAGGTGACTCTTACGATTAAGACAGCAACTGGAATTAAGAGGTTCTTGGATGACAGGGGCTATGGTGCATGGTTTGATAAACTGTTTGCAATTATAAAGACTAGAGATAGCTGCCAGCCTGAGCAGGCTAATGAACCATCAGCCCTTGAATTGGTCCCAAATGAAGATCAGGCTGCAAGCAGTACAGACATAGCCTGAGAGAGCGAAATAGAAACCAAACCAAAAGATTGTATGTCCCAGTGAAAGAAAGTAAGCGAAGTTACAAAAAAGACCCTGTGTGTGAGGCAGTTAAGCTCATGAGATGTATTGTAGAAAATGACCCTGCAAAGGCAATTATAAACTTCATGAGAGAAGATGTACAAAAGGCCCGTCAACATGAGTTGCAGTGTACTGATTTGACACTTTTAGTGCAAAGCAGCAATGTATGTTGTTGTATCTGATCTCGGTTGGTGCTGTTGGGTTTTTATCATGGGTGCTATTGAGTTTTTCTGTATCTTACTATTTTGTGTTTCATGGCTTTAACTGGTGTTCACAGTTATAGGGGAGGGGAATGTTATCTACTACCTACAAATTATCTTTTATATCCAAACCCTTGGAGTGGACAGGAAATGCAGTACCCCCAGTTAGGATTCTTTTCAAGCAAGGCTCGTTCCTCAACCACCACCCAGCCCCACCACAAAAATATGAAAATTTCCCTATTTAAGAGAAGAAAGAAATTTTAATGTTGATATCTGTTAACAAACTGGTTCACAGAAAATTAATCTCTTTGACTTGAGCACCCAAAAACGTTTTAGTTTTAATGATATGGGAGATCAATACAGATCATTTGTAGAGACTACATGAATTTCAACTCCAAAAAACTGTGGCAACAGTAATACTATTTTAAGTATTAGCAGTGACACTGATACCAGGTTGAACTCATTCATGTTCATTGTTTAATGATCGTAATCAATGCTTTCTTGAGGGTATCCAGTAAGGTTCTTCAATCTAGCGATCCCGACTAATATTTTCTTTCAATTCCGTAATTCCGACGGTTTATACCGGCCAATCTTGATCATAAAAATGTTTTTCTAGTCATTTCCTAAACGTAAGAGGGCGTCTTTGGTAGGTGATGATTTTCTCAACCAGCATTGATCTGTTGAACTCTTTGGTCACCGTAAGGAGTAAGTTTATTTTTTGTCACCGAAATAATGATATCGTTCATTTTAGAAGTTTTCAAAGATTTGCACGAATAACGTACGCTAGTCACGGAAACGACTTCCTTCCCTTTTAACTTCGATTACACACAAACGTATTAGTAAAGAGAGGTCAGTATCAAAGATACGAATACAATGTACAATAGATGTGTCTATGAATTGTAACTTTCTTCTTTAACATTCATTAAATCTGTAAACCAGAGTAGCATCAAACCATGTCTGAAAGCCATTAAGAATTGTACGATAATTTCCATATCGGAACATGGTTACAGAAAAGCTAAAGAGATCTTGTACTACAGATTTGGACAGAAACAGTTCATTGCGCATGCACACATTGCAAGGATAGTGGAAGGTTCTCCCGGTGTTCCCAGTTGTGGGTGGTGTCTTCATTCACCTCCTTTCACCAGACAAGTCCCTTAGTGAACAATGCACGATCTGATGGTTCGTTTTAAGGCATCAGAAACACAAGCCAGACTTCTTGGCCAACTCCCAGCGATCGTTTATGGCTTCCTTCTTCCAGGTTTCACATCTCTTGATTCCATGCTCTCCTTTGCAGATAAAGCATTCCGTTTTGGCCCCTGAAATTGCGAATGTGTTTTTAGGAGGGTACTTCTTTTTCTTCAACCACTTTCATTTGTTTGATTTTGGTTTGAACTTTGCACCATCTTGTTTAGAGTTCTCTGTATTGGAACAACCAAATGCCATCTCTTTGACTTGGACTTCTGTTTCCAACCACTTATCTAAATATGTAAGGTCAACCTCCTTTGGCTGCAACTCAAGCTTTTTCCTGCTCCACCTCTCAGAAATTGCTTGAGGTAGTTTTCTAATGACCTGTTGCATGTTGGTCACTGCTTATAAGTCTGCTCCATTACCTTAAGTTTTCAACGTTCCCACAAGGTTGTGTATGTTGTCAACAGATGACCTCAGATTTTGAGCACTTTCACCTTTGAGTGCTGACATTTCCAACAGCTTGCTAATTAAGGACTTTGAGATAAATCCTGGGTTTCCGAACCGATTAGTCAGCTCCTTATTAGCTTTGTCCTACACATTCCCACTAAAGAACATTCCTGCCATGGCTTTCTCTGCTGTTCCCTTTACTAATGCTTTGAGATAGATCATCTTTTGTGTTTAGGAAAGTCGCTGGTCATGTACCAGTGCTTTGAACATTCCATACCAATTTGGCCAATCACAGCGATCCCCATCAAACACAGGTAAGTTAATTTTGGGAAGAGAAGACACCAATGCTGACCTGTGGATACTCGACCTCGTCAAGTCCACAACTGTTTCTTTGTTCTCTGTTTGCAAAGGAGGATCACTCAGTTCATGGATGGATGGATGGATGCCTTTATTTAAAAATAAAAATAAACCTAAGGGTAGCCCCGTCAGAAGCCCTAAAGAGCCAACTGCTACTAATGGGAGCCCTGAGTATAAACTAAATAAAATACATTACAGTTTCATGCAAAATACAAACACGAAGATATAAAACACTTTTATAAGTTCTAAATTTAAAATTATGTATATAAAAATTACTCTACTTTGATGAATTATAACCTATGGATCCATAGTAATATGACGATCGTTTTGTAATTTCTGTCCGTACTGATGGTAGATGGATTAACTTTTTTTGGCGAGTATCACGGCTATATAAATGCTTATTGAAAGTAAAATAGTTCTTAAAAAACTGACGACATTGCCCATTTATACATTCGTTCACTAAATTCAAAGTGTACTTGGATTGCCTATAGGTTGTCAAATTCAGTTTTTCGATCGCATCCTCGCTAATTGAAGCTCTGCATACAATCCTTTCTGCTCGTCTCTGTAAGGACTCTAAAGCATTCTTATCTACTTGTCCACAGCATCCCCGGCATATTCAATAATTGGTCTTATCATGGAAGTATAAATAATCTTCACACTATGCCAGTAATGCAGTAGCGAATTCGGCCAAGCATTCCAACCCTTTTACCAGCTTTAGCTAGGATGAATTTAACTTGATCGTTCCAACTGAGACGTTCATCAAACACCACGCCAAGATACTTGAACTGAGACACACGCTTGATAGAAGAGCCATTTACACCAATCGTAAAGGAATCTATATTAGACAGGCGAGGTGATGTGCCAAATACCATAGCTTCAGTTTTGTAAACATTTAAAAACAAACTGTTCTGACGAAGCCAACATTCGATTGCTTTAAGTTCTTCGTTCAATCTTTCTTGTAATGCATCGACTTTGGAGGCAGGGTAAAACAAAACGGTGTCATCCGCATACATAAGCATACTACAGCGATTCACAACATCGAGAAGATCATTTACATGAAGCATAAATAGTAAAGGTCCCAAAATGGATCCTTGCGGGACTCCAATGGAAATGGGTTCTAGGTCAGACGATACACCCTGGAAGTCCAAGACCTGAGTTCGATCGTGGAGATAGTCTTTAAACCATGCAAGCTCTTTATCTAATACACCCATGTAAGATAGCTTTTGTAGTAATAAGTCATGATTAACTGTATCAAAGGCTTTCCGAAAGTCACTAAAAACTGCACCTGTTAACATCCCTTGATCCATGTTCCTTCTTATGGTGTCTGCAAGTGAAAGAGCGGCAAATTCGGTGGAATGACGTTTTCGAAAACCGCATTGATATGGACTCGAAATATTATGTTCACGCAGATACTGATAAAGCTGATGATGAACAGCCCGCTCAAGTAATTTTGAGACAGTGGGTAGAATTGAGATGGGATGGTAGTTATCCATTTCCACTACCTTGCCCTTCTTAAAGAGAGGAATAACTCTTGTGGACTTGAAATCCAATGGAACACGTCCAGATTTTAAAGAACAATTAATCATCTCTGCCAAGGGTTTAGCCACAATATCAGCAGAATCAATCAAGAGACGAGCAGGAATATTGTCCAGTCCCATCGCTTTTCCTGTTTTCAAAGCACGTAATTCAGCTTTGACAAAATCCTCCGAGACTTCATCAAATTTAAAAGCTGGATGCTGTGCAATTCTATGATGGATGTTTTGGGACCCAGTTGAAGATGAGAATGCATATGGTAAGCATTCCAAGAGCCGAGTAGCTGCACCGACGAAAAAATTATTAAAAGCACTTGCAATAGTCTTTTTATCGGTGGTTATTGTCTGTCCAGTGTTTATTTTTGGCGAAATAGCTGTTTTCTCGCCAGGTAATATTTCCTTCATTGTTTTCCAGAAAGCTTTATGATCTTTGCCACTGTCTTTACTAAGACGATGATCATATGAAGCTTTGGCTTTCCTTATACTGTTAGAAACTCCATTTCTGCCGCACCGGTAATTAGCCCAGGCCTCAGACTTATTCGTCTTCCTTGCTTTCTTGAGAAGAAAATCACGTCGGCGCATATTGATTTTAATGTTTTTATTTAGCCACGTACACACGTCTACACCTCGCACACGCTTATGAATGACTGGAGCTTGCTTGTCGGCTGCAGAGACAAGAGATGTTTTAAAATGGTCCCAAAGCTCATTCACACTTGCAGCTTGTCCATCAATAGAGTTCAAATTCCAATCAATACCAGCAAGGTCCCTACGGAATTCACTTGATCTGTAATTTGCATAGTTCCTAAATGTTTTCATTTGAGTAGGAGCTTTTTTCCAATTTAATTTTCGAATACAATAAACTAACTCATGGTCACTAAGATGCAAAGAGGCAACTCCGAAATTGCTTATATTTTGTGGACAGTTGGTCGTAATAAGATCTACCAAAGAAGCAGAGTCTTTAACCATCCTTGTAGGACTAGCTATTAGCTGTTTAAAACTCATACTTTTGAACAACGATTTGAGTTGTTTTCTGTCAGGACTGTTACGCTTAGATGACAAAGTAGCAATTAAAGTCGCCGTTAAGAATTGTTTCTTTTCCTTCGACTGCAGCACAAGCCAAAATATTGTTTACTATCATCTAGTTCTTTGAGGTTTACATTAGCTAACCACTCCTTTACTTTCTGTGTAGTGAACTTAGTATCCTTTTCGGAGGGGTCTTCTTCTGTGATTTGGATCATTGACTTAATCCTTACTTTGCCTGCTCTTTCTGCTACGAAGACATCATCTTCAAAATCCTCAAAACGCTAAACAATGTCATCATCATTTATCTGTTCCTTTAAGAGCAGTGCCTCTTTTTCTTTCCTAATCTGCATCCTGTTTTGCTTCCTTGATTGTTAGTTGTGCATCGAGCTTGGCTTTTTGTGCTGCAATTTTAGCCTCTATCTGAACTTTTTCCTTTAGCTGCTTCACTTTTAATTTAGCCAGATCAGCTTCCCTTGCAACAGGAACACCTTGTCGTCACTCAACTAATTGATCACATCAGCGAACAGATGTATCCTTTCCAACATGGGTTCCAGAGAGGGAAATCGTATGTATCGCAACTGCTTCAAGTTTTTTCATGAAATTGGAATGGCACTGGACATTGGCCTTGAAACTGATCTGGTATACCTTGACTTTGCCAAGGTATCTGATTCAGTATGTCATCAAAGGCTTCTTTCCAAACTCAGGTGGTTCTAAATTGCTGGTCTTCTTCTGCGCTGGTTTGGTAGCTATCCCACTGGTCGTGTTCAGAGTGTTGTCCTAAATGGTTCCTCCTCCAGTTGGACAATTTCTCCAATCGTAATTCGTTGCAGTCGTTCAACATTTGGTTGAACTAGCTAAAATGGTTCAACTCGACAAAATGCACAACTATGCTAATAAATTCAACTGCACAAACTCCACACTCTAACTGAATTGGTTCGAATTGATGGATGGATGGATAGATAGATACATAGATACATAGATACATGGATAGATAGATAGATAGATAGATAGATAAATAGATAGATAGTTTATTCACCTTAGGAACTTGCAGCCAAAAGCTGAATTGCGATAAGGTTTGCAAACGCGAAATTTCCAGCTTACTAAATTACAACTAACTAACTAATTTCTTAATAAAAAACTGTTACAGAATGACAAAATTACAAGCATGCGTCGAATTCCCATGTAAAATAAGAAACAAATTAATATCTAATTATCACCTACCATAAACGTAACTAAAGAGAAAGCTATTCTTGCATCTTTCAGTTTTACACCCCGGACGAATAAATTCCCCATGTTCTAAACGAGTCAGGGATTGGGTTCGAGTTGGGACCGCAAAGCATCTATGGATTGATTGAAGGGACAGACGAGTCATATTTACAAAGTAATTCTGAAATGCCTCACTATAATTGTTGCGTTCCTGGCTGTACAAACAGCTTTAGGAACGCTTCACATCTGCATTTCTACAGATTACCGAAAGATGAGTTTACCAGAAAGCAATACAAAGTCATTTTGAAGAATGATTCGCTAAAATTGGACTCCACAAATACTCGAATTTGCTCAGACCATTTCGAAGGTGGCGAGAAACTCAGTCGAGCTCATCTGCCGACTATATTTCCTTGGAAAAAGGCAGAAAGCACTAGACGACAGCTAAAAAGAGTCATCAGCTTCGAAGAAAATCTGGCAATTCAGGAAGCAAAAAAGAAGAAGAGGGAGGAAAAGAAAGACATGGCACAAGCATCAGTGACAGTCGAACATGAGAACAATCGTGAGACAAACATCTCTCACAGGATTGGAAATCGAAACAATGTTAAAGGAGTTGCAAAAGCTTAAAAAGGACATCAGTGAATTGACAAATGAAAAGAATCAGCTGCTGGAGAAAAATGCCAAGTTGAGTGAAGAAAATGCAAACCTACTCGAGGCAAACTTAAAACTCGAGCAAGAAACAAAAAGACTAAGACACTCTCTTGAAAACTTTCGTTTCGATATTGAGAAATATAAAGACAATGCTGAAGACATTGCCTTTTACACTGGTTTACCAGACTATAATGCACTGCTGATATGTTTCGACATGGTTAAAGATGCAGCAGAGCATATTGAATATGAACATGAACGAACGCACCCAGGAATTCAGTGTGGCAGACCTCGATGTTTAACCAAGTTCCAAGAGTTTACTTTGACACTAGTGAGATTAAGGCTTGGATTGCTGGAAAAGGACCTTGCTCATCGGTTTAGTGTCTCAAGACCCCTTGTATCCAAAGTTTCAAGGGCCTGGACGAGATTTCTGAGGGGACAGTTTGAGCCACTTATTACTATTCCACCCAGGGAAGTTCTCAAACTCTACATGCCTGACATTTTCAAATCCTTCTATCCAGACTGTGTCATTATTGTGGACTGTACAGAGTTTGAGATGGAGAAACCTTCAGCACTTAATTCTCAATCTGCTTGCTACTCGTCATACAAGTCTAGAACGACGATGAAAGCCTTGCTTGGTATAACACCCAGTGGTGCTTTATGTTTTGTCAGTGAGCTATTTCCTGGTTCAACTTCTGACAAGGAAATAACAGCTCAAAGTGGACTGTTGGACAAGTTACAACCTTATGATCAAGTTATGGCAGACAAAGGGTTCAACTGCACTGATGAGCTTGCTTCTGTGGGAGCAGAACTGATTAGACCAGCATTTTTGGTTAAAGATACACAATTCTCAAAAGAAGAAACCAACCACAACAAGATTGTTGCCAGTTTGAGAGTACATGTTGAGCGATTGATGGAGAGAATAAAGAATTGGCACATCTTTGACCACCGAATTCCAATTACTCTTGCCCCCATAGCATCTGATATGTTATTTGTAGTGGCTGGACTTTCTAATTTTTACCCTCCTTTGATAAATTAAAATTTATGTGAATATAAAGCAACATTTTAATACTTAACAATGGTATGGATTTATGTTTTATTGCCTTGCATTAAAATAGCATTGATAAACTAGTGTTTGATAATGTATTATGATATTGCCATCATACCACTGGACTGTAACCAGACTGGTTATAAGTCATTACAATAATCCAAGCACACTACACATGTAGTTAGTAAATATTTTACTCAGTCAAATATGAACATAACTGTGTACAATGTATAAAAATACTGAGTTAATGTGTATAGACAAAACAGATCGCTGTTTCTTTCAAGACAAAGTTTATCTAATCTTAGCTATAGCAAATACCTATAGGGTGGTTTTTAAAAAACCTGTGAAACAATTAATACTATTTACTTTCTAATAGTGCCAGTATTAAACAATAGAAACAAAAGCATTTAAGCAGAAAAGCACTAAACATGTACAAAACTTAGTACGTGTTTCACAGGCTTTTGAAAACCATTCTACCTTCACAAATATATTGTTTACACTCTGATAGTACTAAAAAGTGTGCAACATAATTTGGGCAAACCACTAATTCCCATTAAATTTTGATTTGCCTATTTCATTGTATAGTTTTCTTAAATTACACACTTTTACTGAAATGAACACATTGATTTTGACTGTTTTAAACTGAACGAGCATTCAATTTAGGAATTCCATACTTGACTCTAGGATACACAAGTTCTGGAACAATCCAGTCATTAAAAAAGGATTCTAGCTTGGGCAAAATAGACTTCCAGCGGTCTATTGAAAAATGTACTCTTTCACAAAACAGTGAATCACAGCCTGAACCCTTTACAACAAAATCTGTCCACTTTCTTCCAGTAACAAACATTTGCTGATGGACTTGGTAGAAGTATTTGTGTTTGTCATTTAATCTCAATGCATTACTGTTCTTTTTGCAAATGCTCTTGCGTAACAATGCCTTTTCTAGTGTTTCATCCTTTGATGTCTGGACATACTTAACTTCTATAAGTCCCTCTGAATCAGAGGCTGATGGATCATGTACAAGGCCATCGGGGCTAGCAGCAAGGTAACCATGTTCTTTTGAAACAAAAAACCCACATTTTGAGACTGTTATGCCTTCATCTCCTTGACTTTGCTTGAGAAGCTTGTAATCATTGATAATCTGGTCTTCCATTTTCAGTCCTTCCTCCATTGACTTACTTTGATAGGCCTTGTTGTAACCAAGTATATCTTTAATTATCTTAGTAGGGGACGTACTTTCTCTCTGTACAGCTACACGGTAACATTTTGTGGCAGTAATCCTTGGTTGTCTGTGGCGATGCCATAATTCAGTGTTTGATTGACCTCTAGTTTGTTCCTCAATATCTTGCCTTTGTAAATCATCAACCATAAGATTTCTCTTTGCTTTTTCAAACTTTTCTTTTAGCTCTTTTGCTGACACGGGATGACATTTGACTGGTGAAAGCAGAGAATCCTTTACATCCTGAAGTTTCTTTACTTCCTGAGGCAGTATATGTGTCCAAGCTACAGTGTTTCCTGATACCCTCTGGTACTCCTTCATCATTTCAAAAAACCTTGACTTGTTTTCATCGCGACAAGCATTTTGGTTTGCATTTACTGGAGAGTGATGAAGCTTACGTATCTTCTTCTCTTTCGTGTAGTCGTGCTTCACAAAAGTCATCTCATTTATGGGCTGTATTGCACCTTTTCTCTTTCGTGGCACATTCCACTTGCATGGTTTGGAGGTGCATGACTCATCAGACTCATCCAGTTTTTCCCTTACTTTACAATAGTTTTCTAAAGCAAAAAGTGTTGATGCAACATGGTTACATCTCCCATCTATGCCAGCAGGGCATTTGCAGTGGGCTCTTAGCATCTTTCCAAGTGAACTAATAACTAAGTAGCATGTATAAACTTTGTCCTTTTTCATAGATGGGAGGACTTGGCTTTTGATGTAGTGCTTGCCATTTTGTTGTAGGTGGCCTATGTACAGGACATGACCAGATTTAAAAAAGTTGAATCCTTTAACAAGTGGCTTAGCAGTGGAGAGCTGCTTTTTACATTCTACACCTTCGATCATAAATCTCCACACAGTTCCAAATGATATTTTTGGTAGTGCCTTTATATCTGGTTGGAATCCTTCTTTTGGGAATGAATCCTTTACTTCAGGCTCTTGATTCTCAAGTACGCCAAGTTGAGCTTTTTTCCGTAACAAATTGACGCCGCCATCCGGATCACGCAAGTATTTAACATCAAATCCATGCTTGATGTAGTCGTGTACTCTATAAGTCAAAATTAGAGCACTCATAAGTACGAGAGGACTTTATTAAATTCGAAAATTTCGATTATATTAAATTTTTACTCTTAGGAAATTTTAATAATAATTCTGAAAAGGCATATAATTACAAATAAAGTTGTTATAAATAAAAATAACTTATTGCGTGTAAAGGTTCTTAGTTTAAAAGTTGCCAGCTTCGATACGAACCTCGCCACTAAAGCTTTCTTTGTTCCCGTCGTTTTTGCACCTCTGCAAAGCAGCCACCTCTTCAACTGGACAACGCTACATTTTTCAACAGAATCCCTTGGAAGTTTTGCCCCAGGAATATCTTCCTGAGTTAGTTTAACAGTTAGTTTGGCTTTGCTCTCGCTTTCAGCCATATTGATTTGGAAAATCTGTCCCTTCAAACAATCCATAGATGCTTTGCGGTCCCAATTCGGACCCAATCCCCAACTCGTTTAGAACATGGGGAATGTTCTTTGTTCTCTCAGATAGTAGCCAGGTTGGTATTTGCTTGGAAGTAGTTTATGAAGACTATAAGATTGATTTGCACATATTTCATTGAACAACTTTGCTGCAATTGCCTCTTCTATCATACAGCGTTAAAAGTCCAGATATTTCCAGAGCCTTGGCATATGAAAGCTTGGGATAAATAATCTTCATAGCACGTTTTTGAGGTCTTTCTAGGTCTTCGCTTAAATAACTTGGTAAAGCGTGATGGAAAACTGGGCTGCTGTTCTCCAGAGTAGACCGAATGCATGTAATGTAAAATAGAAGAAGCTCTTTTGTGGCGACATGCGATCTCTTTAACTGTCTTAGAAAATAAAGTCTTGTAGAAACCTTCCTAACTAGCTCTAACACATGGGCATTCCATTTTAAATCACTACTTATATTGAGTCCTGATAATTTTATACTTTTCAGTCTCAAGGGTCTGACGGTTAACCCAGATAGGATCAAATTCTGGTTCTTTTTTTGCGAAGCTAATCCTAAGCTCTTTACATTTCCTTTCGTTTAACTGAAAACCTTCATCCCTTGCTTGTATTGCGAGATCGTCTACCATTTGCTGAATACAGCTCTCTTGGCCTTTAGCTATCACCTCTGAAATTGTGGTATCATCCACATATTTCCACATCTCTGCTTCTCCTGCATTCAGATCATTAATCATTATTAAAAATAACCATGGCCCAAGCTTGGTCCACTGTGGGACACCAGCTGGAATGTAACGCCATTCGGAGAAGCAATCCTCGGCCAGTTTAACTCTCTGTCTTCTATCCTATAAAAAGTCAACAATCCAGCATAATATGTGGTTTAGAATATCGTAATCTAAGAGTTTACGCACTAAGATGTTGTGATCAATAAAATCGAACGCCTTACAGAAATCAAATAGAACCACCCTAATCACGGCCGAATTCCCATCGGAGCTGATGTGCCAGTTATGGATCATGCTAACAAGTGCGTGCATAGTGCATGATTTAGGTATTGTCCCATATTGTCTTTTGTCGATTTTCTTTAACACGGCAGGTATCACAAATTCATGAACAATGTAATCTTCTGCAATCTTGGAAAGGATGGGTGTAAGGGAGATAGGGCAAAGGTGCTTATTGATGTCTTGGATAGGTCTTTGCTTGGGGACAGGGATGATATCTGCCTCTTTCCAAGATAAGGGCAAACGGCCTTCACGAAGGGAGACATTCATGATATCCATGACGGATGGTGCCAAAAAATCCGCATTCTCCTTTAGGAGCCATCCGGGGATACCGTCCGGTCCTTGTGCCTTAGCTGAATTAATTCTTCTTCTTCATGCCCTTTACGCCTAACAGGCATGTAGAGCAGCAACTTGTTCCCTCCACATCTGGCGATCCCTTGCCATGAACTTGATGCCCTCCGAGGTCTTCCCCATCTCCTTTATTTCCTTCTCAACTGTCCGTTGCCATGTGATCTTGGGGCGACCCCGCTTGCGTTTCCCTTCTGGCGTCCAATGAATAGCAGTTTTTGCAATGGAAGCTTCTTGGAGGGTGACATGGCCAATCCACCTCCAGCATCTCCTCATCAGGATGGTAGCCATTGATTCGGTTCCACACCGTTCAAAAAGATCTTTGTTGGAAATGACATTAGGCCAAAAGATGTGTAAAATACGCCAAAGGCTTTTGGTGTGAAAAGTGGAGAGTTTTGATAGATCCTTCTCCGTTAAGCGCCAACATTCTGAGCCATACAGGAGGGTTGTAAGAACGCAGCTATGATAGAGCTTCAGCTTGGTACGAGTACTATAGGTGGAAGAACGCCATACCTTATTCATCATATTGAGCGAATTTCTGGCCTTGTTGAGACGGCTCTGGATGTCCAGGTCAGTTCCTCCATCTCTACTGATGATACTGCCGAGGTAGGTAAATCTGTCTGTGTAAGGAAGCTCTTCGTTATCAATCTGGACTGGTCGAGTGTTGGTAGCGTTCAGTGCCATAATTTCAGTCTTCTTACTGCTGATGTTCAGGCCAACTTGCTTTGCAAAGGTGTTGAGTCGATGCGTCTTCTCTTGTATGTGGGTGTGGGTGTGTGATAGTAAGGCTAGATCGTCTGCGTAGTCCAGGTCTTCCAGGTAGGAGAAAGGTGTCCATCTGATTCCCCTGACCTGATCTTCTGTGGTGTGGTGCGGTGCATGATCCAGTCCACAACAAGGTTGAAAAGAAATGTAGACATTACACACCCCTGCCTGACACCAGTGTGAACTTCAAATAAGATGTCACCATCACCAACACAGCAGGTAAAGTTGTCATAGAAGCTTTTGATGATCTCAACAAGGTGGAAGGGGATTCCATATGCTCGTAATAACTTCCAGAGGCTGTGCTGGTGCACACTGTCAAAGGCCTTGGCGCAATCTACAAAGAGAGTTCACTGCCATTCGGTACTCTGTTCAATAATATTTCTCAGTGTGAAAATATGATCAATACAGCCCCTTCCTCTCCTGAAACCTGCCTGTTCTTCGCGAAGTCTATGGTCCACAGCCAGTGATAAGCGCTTCATGATGACCTTCGCTAAGATCTTGCTAGGGGTGGATAATAGTGTAATGCTGCGCCAGTTGTTACAGTCAGACAGAGCTCCTTTCTTTGGTATCTTGACACCGGGAGGACACCCTTATTCCAATTGTCAGGAATTTTCCTTTTGTCCCATATGGTGTTGAAAAGTGGCTGCAATATGCTTGCCGTAGTCACAGCGTCTGCCTTGAACAGTTCAGCATTGAGGCGGTCTTTGCCAGGTGCCTTGTGGTCTTTTAGAGAATTAATGGCTGCCATGATCTCTTCTTTCTTTGGTGGTCCGGTGTCAACACTTAAGTCCTTCTCAGCTTCTGGTATATCAGGCTCCTCTTCTGGTGGTGGTCTGTTGAGGACTTCATTGAAATGCGCTACCCAACGTGCTTCTTGGTCTTTTTCAGAGGTGAGGAGCTGTCCTTGTTTATCTCGTATGGGGACATTTCTATTGCCTTTATATTTTCCACAGATCAGTTTAGTGACTTTATAGACATTTCTCTGCTCTCCCATTTGTGCCGCTTCCTCTGCTTCTTTTGCTAGATCTTCCATATACGCTCTCTTATCTGTTCTGATCTTTCTTTTGACACGCCTGTTGGTTTCTGTGTAAGCCGCTCTATACTTCTCTTGAAGTCTGGCTGATTTGCTGTCATTTATCTTCTTCTTCAGCTGGCGTCTCTCCTCGTCTTTTACATCCCCAGACAGGTTTTACTTGCTTCATCAATTACGTTCTTCACTTGCTTCCACTGTTGATTTACAGTGTCTTCCTCTTCATCAATGCTTTGCTCGTCTATGTTACTCAAGGCTTGGAACCTGTTCCTCAGCTGTAGGACAAAAGCATTCTTAGTCCTTTGGTCTTGTAATCTGCTGATGTCATATCTAGGAGTGCGTTGTTTGTTTGGTCCAGCTGCTCTCAGTTTCAATCTCACCTTTGCAGTCACAAGATGGTGATCGCTGCTTGCATCAGCCCCTCGTCTTACTCTTATGCTAGATTGATAGAGCATAACTTTCTAAAGATAGAAAACGCTGATATTGATGAGTAATCATCATTCATAGTTCTACTCGAAGACACAAAATCATCTCCCCTAAATAGATTGTGGGTAAGCGGTTCAAAAACCTCTATTGGGGCCAAGAAAGCTGTGATGATGTGGTTTGCAAGGTCAGCTGCTGATAGACCATGAGCACCTTCTAAGTGATGAACGGACTTTAGGACATTACCACATGACCCCTACATTCCACTAAGTTCCTTGATTTCGCCCCACCACTTAGCTGGGGAACACCCCTTTAGATGTTGCACTTTACAATCGTCATACTTCGCGCGGCATCTTTTACATTCTCGGTTAACAAGATTTCTCAGATGGTTAAACTCCGCTTGGCCTAAGGCCACTTGTCACTTTCGAATCAAGGTCTTAAGTGTTGAATTTATCCATGGTGGTTCTGTTCGGTGGACAATTTTAGGCTTCATCGGTAAGACAGAATCAAGGCCAGTTTTGACGATCGTTTGTAACATCGACACCTTTCATTCGCAGGTGGTCATAGCTCTGTTCATTGCAGTAACATCGACTTCATATAAATATGTTTGCATTGCAACATGATTACTTGGTCGTAAGTCCCTTGAAATAACAGTTTGTATTGTTTGCAATGTTTTAACCCTTTGCTTTGGCTGTACTTCAACTGAGCTATGATCTGAAAGACCAAAAGCGGGACGTTCAACCGGGGTGTCGTAGTAATCCTGAAGGTTGGTAAGAATCTTGTCGAGAGTGTTTTGCCCACGAGTAGGAAAATGCACAATCTGCTTCAGTTTGAAGTTTGATTTGAGCCCTGCATCGTTCAGATGGTTAAGGTCTTTGAGTACGAGAAAACTGCAATTTGAGTATTTAGACTCCAAGTCCATTAAACACTTAGTCAAGTAGTCCAACATCATAGAATTTGTTGCTTTTGGTGGATGATAAACAACATCAGCGATAATACTTGAGATGCCCCTTGGGAGATGAGTCGGGCGCATTTTAATCCGCAATACCTCAAAAGAGCATTTTTCGTCCTCGGGATCCTAATTGTTAAAATGGTCAAGCTGTGTTAGTTGGTTTTACTTCAGAAATGGTCAAACTAACTTAAATGACAAAATGCGTAGCTTTCTGAAATGGTTCAACACGAGAAAATGCATGAATAACTTAATCAGTTCAACTGCACAAACTACACAAGCTGGCTTAAATTCTTCAACTGCTTAGTTAGTCAAACAAGCGGACACAAATAAACTGCACACATTGCAAAAGTTATTTTAATTGGTCGAAGTAGTTCACATGCTCAAAGTAGCCTAAATAGTTCAAATGGACAAAGTGCATAATTAGCTTAATTGGCGTAACTGCACAAACTGCACAATCTAGCTTAAATGGTCTAACTGGTTACAAAGGCAAACTAGCAAAAGCAGATTAACAACACAAATTGCACTACATATCTTAATTGGTTAAAAAAGTTAATTGGTCGGCTTAGCTTAAACGGGTCAAGAAGACAAAAATCAGAACTAACTGATATCGTTAAAGTGGAAAAAAACAATAAGTAGCTTAAATGGTTCAACCGGCCTAATGTTAATTGAGTGATTATAGTTAAACAGCATAAATAACTCAACTAAACAAAATGCATAAGTATGATATGTACTTTGTCCAGTTCAACTGCTTCTGCTAGCATCATTTTGTCATATGAGATAGTTTGACTGTTTTAAACTACCTCGACCAATTAAGAGGCATCATAGAATTTGTGAAGTGACCTTGACTACTTAATCATATGAACTAATTAATCTAGTTTGATTATCTTAACTAGCTAAACCAATTAAACTTGGTGGTACAGTTTGTGAAATAGCTTAAATGGGTCAACTGGCTAAATTTCAATCAAGCGATAAGAGTTAAGCTGCACAAATTGCACAATCTATCTTAGTCAAACTAGCTTAAATGGTTGAACTGAAATAAAATGGATAACTAGCTTGATTAGTTCAACTGCATAATCTGGGCAATCTATCTGAAATGGTTCAAGTGGTTTTACAGTCAAAGTTCAACTGAGAAAAATTGCATAATCTATCTGAACTTGTTGGAGTACTCTAAATGAACTACAATCAACGGCAATCTAGCTAAATGTCTTAAAGTGTTTGAAATAGACAACTATTTTAATTGATTCGACTAGTAAAATGGTTAAGCAAGGGAAGACAGTTAAACTCCATATATTGAAAAACCTTTCTTAATTTGCTGAAGTAGTTGACTGGTTCAATTGCACAAAATGCATCACTAGCTTAAATGGTTCCATTACACAAACTGCATAATCTAGCTTAAGTCGTTTAGTTATTTAAGATAGGAGTATAGTACTCGGGGCTTTTAAGGCATATTTATCAGATATCAGTGATCTTGTGTTTCAATTATTGCACGGTAATTTTGCACTAGCTTATTCATATAATACTTAACCTTTCCTAGAATCCAACTTTCTTCCCTAGTTTGACTATTTAACCATTTGAACCATTTAAGCTAGTTGGCCATTTAAACACCTTTATCAAATAAGGTAGATTGTGAAATTTGTGCAGTTTAAATGTCTCAGCTACTTTGACTATTAAACGTGGTTAACCAATTAAGCTTGATTGTGCAGTTGGTGCAGTTGATGGCATTGTTTCCTGTTGAGCCAGTTTACCTAGTTTGACCATTTG